GGCGTCGATCTTGCCAGTAATATCCTCAAAGACTCGCCGGATCACACAGAGTCGTCTCCTCCACTTGCTCGTCGTCGAATGGGATGTCGACTGGGATGGCATCGTGTATCGCGGGGGATGGCAAGAAGATGAAGAAGACTAGGAGGGAGAAGAAGGCGAAAGTGGGTGGTGGTATTATGAATGGAGAGATCAAGAATGGAGAGATCAAGAAGAAAGTCTTCTTGAAGGAAGAACAACGGCAGCTAGGAACGGTCAACCAAAACAACCTTGCTCTCCCCCACCACCATCCATCTCACCCAACAACAACGACTTCAGTATCATCAACCTCTCAACCTCCTCCTCCTCCTTCTCATGACCTGCATCTCCGTCATCCCGCTAGACTCGCCCCTCGCCCCTCTAAGAACTCTAATCGTCCCTCTATTCACTTGTTCGATAAACTCACCGGCGGCGGGTTGTTGAAATCTTGATCCTCTTTTTTCTTTTCCTTTTTGGGCTTGTTTTTTTTTTTTGGATGGATGGATGGGATGATACCTGGGAGAGATTTTTTTTTCTTTTTGGTTGTTGTTGTTGGGTTTTTACTCTTGAAGTGTGTGTGTTTTTTGTGGATGGAGTGGAGCGGTTAGGTGGTCTTGTTTACGATGTATATCTTGCGTTTTTTTTGGTTGGAATAGGAGTGCTAAGTAGGATGGGGGATGAGTGGACAGAGAGGCGTCTGGTGACGTGTCTCTTCTTGGCTGACTCCAGTCATCATCACCAATGGTGGTCAATCATTTCTTCTTCTTTCTTCTTTCTTTCTTTCTTTTTTTTTTTGGAGGATATATAGGACATAATTTTGGACATGCATGATTACATCTATGAAATGATATAATTGTTTTTTTGGAAAGTTGGAAATCATGCAAATAGAAGGGCCAAGATAGGTCCCAGGAAACCGTCTATGGATATATAGGATGTGGATAACCAAAAAAAAAAAAAAAATCACGGGGTTTGTTAACATTTGTTGGAAGCCTTTTTTTGTGTGTGTATGCTGGCTGAGATCAGGAAAATCCGGCAGAAAGTGAGAGAATTGGCCCCGGAAATTTCGGGGATGTGCAGTTGGTTATGAAGCAGGCTTTCCTCAAGAATTGAGCACATTTTGAACGATTTTCGTGCGTACAACTGTGTCAGGTTTTTGCGCGGATTCATGCCACTTTTGTGTGTATGATTTCAGGATTTTGCCCCTAAAATTCATTCGTTTTGGTTGCCCATCTCTAGAGGGTCCTGCCAAGATATGCTGAGCTGGAGATACATCACTATGCTTGGTCACTGAAATCCTCATGGTCCCCTGGCCCCTTGGTATTCTAATACATACCAACAACACTCATCCTCCCACTACACTCCAGCTTATTCATCTGCTCCCTTATACGTAATATCAAGAAGTCCTGCAAAAACATCACACCAGATTCGTGCAACAAATTCCCATCATCAACAAAAAAAAAAAAAAGTAAAGAAAAATTGCAGACTTAAGCTACAACGGCTTCAGGCACTGAGCACTGCAATCTTCTGCAAATGGACAGCTGTTCTGGTCACCCTGGAGCCGCCAAAACCTCATTCCAAGCGACTCGAATACAGATTGGTAGCGTGTTCCAAGATAGCATTTGTTTGCTTCTCCTACATTATACCCGTTGGTCGTTTAATTTTTCTTGCTCATGAATTGCTGACATCAAATCTCTCAGCAAAAAAATTGAAACTGAATTTTAGGTCTGCAGCAGTCCTGCGGCTTTCTTGCGGGAAAATAAGACAGCTTTGTACAAGCTGAAGCTATCGTGAACCCCTCTGCTGGGTTTCCAGCTGGGCAAAGGCCAACAAAAAGCACCACTGCAAGTAATTTGATTTTTTTTCATGATCTGCAGTATAAAAATATCATTTACAATTCCAACCACTCTCACACATATATATTGTACACAGTTGGATGGGACATCAGATGGAGAACACACAAAATTGTGTAGGAAATCCAATAATAATCCATCTAGAAGGTTCAAGATATGTTTGGGGAATTTGCACATGGTTGTACTAAATAATTCTGTGCTTGACATCAAATGTAGCACCCAAAAAAAAAAAACAAAAGGTTTGTGAGTGTAGCACGATTGTTAAACTCAAACATCAGGCTCAAAGTGGGCCTTCTTTTGCAGTAGGGGAAGAGTCGGTTTATGCCATCCTCAACCGTAGCAGTCTCTAAGTGGATAGCTGTACTCATTCATGGTGGAGTTTCCAACACTTGATTACAAGCAACTACAAAGGATGAGCTAGACTGCTGTTGCAACAAATCCCATGATGGTGATGGAAGGCAATTCATGATGCTTTTCAAGAGGGGAGGGGACTAAATTGCATACATAGTCTATGTTCATGTGCTTAACCATACTGTAAATGAGACTGGACCACGAGACTATATTAAAGAATGACTCATATGTGTCAAGTTTGATTTATGAGTTCAAGGATCTCTGAATTCCAACATATCAAAATCTAAAAGAAAAAAACCCCGCAAAAAAAAAGAAAAATATGGAAGGAAGTTATGATGCCAATATTTTGTGCAAAAGATAGATATATGAATTGAAGTAATATTTTTATCAAAGAAGCTCCATCTTGCATGGTATGTGATCCAAAAATTGATTAACCAGATATCTGTTTTTGGATTTCTTGAAAAGAATCTTAAGCTGTGGCCTCGAAATGATTCAATCGGATTTCACCATCCTGGTCAATATGTATGATTTTGTATTTGAGATGGTCATCAAACTTCCCTGTTCTATAATCATTTGAAGGAAATCTGAGTCTAACATCTTTGAAATCTTTTAAAACCTCTGCAAATTCTTTCAGATAGCCTTGATAAATTGATTTATTGTAAGCCAAACCCTGAGTTGAGTTTCCAGATGCATTATCTTTTATCTGCCAATACTTCTCAGCAATTTCCTTTAACATGTGATACCTTGAGGTAAGAAATACCAATTGTCTCACTTCCTTAGTTTGATCCTGAATCTTCTCCATTGATAGTCCAAAGTTTGGACTATTCAGAAAAAAAACTGTATCAATTCTATTATAAGAGAAAGAAATATCATTAATTAAATTACCCTTTTTGATAGATTTCAAATTAGTTCAAAACAAACAAAAAAATTACCCACAATTCTTTGGTAATTCCAGGAGATAGCTCCCTTTCAATGAATCCCAGAAGATAACAAATTGAGACACAAACATCAGTGGGTCCGTGGGACTCCTCTTCAGAAGTTCAATATATCCAGGTAAAATTCCAGCGTGTAAGCACATTTGATGAATGAGTTTTTGGGTGGCTGCTATGAATCCTTTTGGATCAGTCACGACCTGATGGCCAAGTTGGACACTTTTCATTTTCATAAGAACCTGGAGGACTTGATTCATGTATGTATTTGTAGGTGTTGAAATAATCTGGACTGGAAAGCATGTTGGAAATTCTTTGTAATGAAACCTGAGATTTGGGCTCAGGTTGCACAAATTCCCAGATTTTGCTTGATGATTCCAGATGAACAATTCATCATCTTTCTTGCTCCCTTGATCTGAGAACTAATAAAAGTTTATGTCAAATATAATGCATAGAATTCTCCAGAATCAAAGAAGAGAAATGATGAAGATTAGCCCAGAATTACCTGAAAAGGGGTTTTTGTCAGATGTCCAATACCAGTGCTTTGTCACTGGTATAAATTTGTCATCAAATTTGGCTCCACTCTGAATTTGGAACAGATTGGAGGTGTAGTATATCAATTCTCTCAACATATTGTATTCTTGAAAAATGTTTCTGTACTGTTCCTGAGTGATAAATTCATTCTGAAGGACAAAATGGATAGTATCAAACACATACTGCCATGCTTTCAATGTCTTGAATGATTTCCTCTCTAATTCAGGGTCTTTGAATTGGAGGCTATATTCAGTAATCAGTTTTGAGAGTTTTTCCAGAGATTTTTCTGCAAATACTTGCAATGCCTTGTTGAAGATTGTCAAGGACAGGTCATTGGGAAAGTCTTTGAGCTTCATCATAAGTAACTCATCCTCATCTGAAAACAAGAATGGAATCAATTTATTGCTTGATGCCTTTGGATCAAGATTTGAAAGTTTTAAAAATCTGAATACTTTCAACATTGAAATGTCTATTTGAGATTCTTCCACTAATTCTATTGCTATTCCTGTGTGATCTGTGTTTTTTCCATTCTTTTTCAGCCATTGCAACTGTCTCTTCAGCTCCTTCTGGTGTTTTTTAAGCTTATCTGAACTTTTGGCAAACAATTTCATCTTCCCTAAAACATCCATATCTCAGTTCACACTGCTGAGCTAATCTTACTATAGCAGGAGAAGAAGAATTACCTTGATGTATGCCCCAATGTTTCCGAAAGTGTGATTCTGACAAGACAAGAATCATGAACAAAATTATTTCACAAATAAATAAAAATGAAAAAAGAAGATCAATAAACTTACTTCTTGCAGAAGCTGAATACCCTGCTTGAGGGTTCTCTAGTATTGCCTTTTTCAACCAATGTTTTTGCTTAGCACGGTTGAGATTTACTTTTGAGACAAGCCTCATGGAAGATTTTTTATGGCATTCTATGTCAGTTTCTTGTTCTCCAAAGGTTCATGAAGGGCTTTGGGTATGATCAGTGGATTATTTTGGGAATATGTGTTCAAAAATAATTAGCAATGTGCAGGGGGAGGGGTTTTTCAAGTGAACAATCAATGCATACCACAAAGTTGGGATGAACAAGCAGGGCTTTTTCCCGCTTCACCTGTTTGGATTGCTTGAATTGAAGGCCCAATAATTTCACTACATCCAGCTGGTATCACAATGAACCACATTCTAAGAAGAAGGGATTGGAGTAGCATAGGTGGAATACTGTAGGAGCTTGAAGTTTATGGAGATGAATATGCAGTACTTGATTATCTTGTGTTTCCAAGCTCTCCATCCTTCAAGATTGAGATGGCTTTATAGCCAGAAAAATCCAATCACTGAATCCCAGTAAAACCTAAAAAACCCTGCAAGACCAGAAACATGTGTCAATGCAAAACGGTCTTGTTCAGACTGGTGTGACAGTCTGTAAGTGGATAGCTGTAATCTTTTATGGTCAAGCCCACCGGATTTCAGAATGGTTTGATATCCTGAAAAAAGCCAATTGCTGACCCCCGATAGAACTTATAAAACCCTGCAAGACTGAAAAGCATGTGCCAATGCTACACGGTCTTGTTTTGAATGGTGCAGCAGTATGTACGTGGAGAGCTGTACAGTTCACTAATTCATTGTGGAGTTGCCAACAACTGATGACAAGCAACTACAATGGCTGAGCTAAACTGCTGTTGCAACACCTCCCATGAGAGGAATGAAACTTGTGATGCTTTTTTTTTGGGAGGGGGGAAGAATCTCTGAATAGGGGGCATCAAATATAGGAAATCCACCTTTAGAAACCAGTCACTTTTCCCAAAGATATTTTTAGCATTAATGGGCCCCAAAAGGGGTTAAATGAAGAACCAAAATGTTTCAAAAAGGGTGGATATTTTCAAACCAGTCAATTAAATAATAGTGGATTGGGTTATATTTGATACCCTCTAACTTTGAAGAAATTACGACCGAAGAAGGAAAATTTTTGAAGGAGAGAATTTTTGGGCAACAAGATTGAATTTTGTTGGAACGGCTCAAAGGGTCGCAAAATGAAGGAGAGAACCGATGATGTTTTACTTAGAGGAGACTAGGCGTTAAGTAGTCTACATACAAGAGGTTAAACATGTGGGTGAGAGTAAAATGAATAAAGAAATGAATAAAAATTTAACACATGCATGAAAAGATGACAGGAGCAAA